TCGAGCCCATCTCCATCCAGAACCTATCGGTGATCATGGATATTCAGAGAGGCCTTAAAATAAGAGAGGAAGGAAATGAATCGAACCTCGGGAGCGCCCGCAGCACATTTCTTCACCAATTCAACCACTTTCTTGGCACGTTGCTTGATGGTACGAACAGTGATCTTTCGCGCGTTGAGGGACCGCGTCATGAAGTCGACAGTGCGCCATTTATTTATGCCAGGCATCTCCAGGTCAAGCCCGGCGTTCAGAGCAAGGTCAACGCTGTAGGTACCAAACCTGGAAGAAAGATATTCTTGGATTAGTGAACCGAAAGTGCGGGCCTGCAGACGAATGCTTACCAGTCACTCATAATCTATGATAAAACAAAAACGTCCGCGGTTCAGAGAACGACATAAATTTGTGGAAGACACGTACCATGCCATCGAATTTCCACTCCTCTCTGAGTATTTTGGTCAACAGGAATGGATTTTCAGACGCGTGAGTGCCGTTGACGCGGTTATATCTAAAGACATACCAACCGTTCGAGTGACGTGTCAGAGATATATAAAAAAGAGGAACACCCACGCAGTCATATAGGCCCAGGGCTGAGCATGCTTCTGTGCCAACATAAATGGCATAAGGTAGATCTCGCGAAGCGCTCGGGGGCTAACGATGCTGTCATAGGCGTTCCGGTCATTCTCCTTATCGTTTGCGCTGCGATGGACATGTCAAAATGGGTTGACATGAATGGACAAGGAAAGGTACGCGTACACAAAATGCTTGATCGTAGTTCCAATTCCTCCGCTTTGCACACCATTCACGTAGGCTGCTGCTATGATTCCAGACAGGAACGGATCTTCTGAAAAACTTTCGAAACTCTTCGGAGAGGATTAGCACAAGCGGGGTATATATGACGCGAATATACCTACCCTACCTCCTAGCGGGTTCTGTTTCAAAAGTCACATGAGAATCCAAAAGATCACCTAGAATGTATGTTACTCACGCGCTGGATGTTGCAAGTTGGTGCAAGGACGATCGAGGCAGCTCGTAACTTGGCTTCTTCGGCTAATAACTTCAACCCGACTTCTTGAACGAGGTCTGTGTCCCATGTCGCGCCAAGGGCGGTTGATGACTGAAATTATCGTCAATGACACGAGATGACGCGAAATGCAGCTGAACCCACGGGTAGACACTTCGCAGGTGTGCCCATAAAGAAATGGTTTCCTCTAATACCGTTTGGTCCATCGCTGACCTGGAATGTATATGATCAAAATACCCAAACTTTCATGAATAGCATAAGAACATACCTTGACCGCTGGGATCCCAAGCCTTTCTATCTTCTCCGTATGCCAGAATCCGACGCCGGCGGTCAAAAGAATAGCCTCCTCCGTCGTCAGATTATTCACAATCTCGTCCACATTGGCTTTCGCAAAATCGGAAGGCGCCATAGTTGACTTCAATCGTCCGGTCTGCAAAAGCAACAAATATTTTAGCGCCACTTCCAGTTCTCCCGCAGAACGGCAACCCCACCTGTTGTTCAAAGTAAGTAAACCTGGAACTATGGGGTAATATGGCGTTTCGTTATGGTCATCCCCAGATTATATACGGCTGGTGTCGCATTGGACGAGGAGTATGTCCGAGGTTAATCCATGCATGAGGGGTTAAAAAAGCTACTTTTGGACACCTGACCAGTATCCTTGAGCTGTACGGGCTGTATACAGGTGGATTTCAAAATCTTCTTGGCCAACGTGGGACACGAGATCCATCCTTAGAAATGATCCTCCAAATCGTTAGACAGCACCTTCGGATAGTAGGAAACCCTTGGGCCGAGCTCAGCGAAAGGTGGTTATTGTTGTTATCTGTGCTGCTATGACACCAGGGAGGGTCTTATAAGTGTCATCCTCGAGGCGTGTTGAAAGAAGATGGATAAAGATTTAGGACGCAGAAAAGAAGACAATTCGGAGGAGGAAAAGGCGACGGGGTGAAATCACGTTGTTACCACGTCACGCCCGTGAGCAAAAAATACCATTTTCGACACAGCAGACCAACAATCAAAGAAAAAAATAACATTTCAGAAGTTACGCTCAATTGTAACAAATAAGGTCCAGACGTTACGTTCATTGCCCAAGAATTACTCCAACTCCACCACTGTACCCAACGTCGCCTCCTCTTGCTTGCTCTTTTCCCTTGCAAGCCGACCCTTCCCTCTCGCCAGCTCCACCTCCTTCCAGCTGGCCTTCGCACTATCAAACACGCCCAGCTTGTCATCGTAAATCGCTTCGAACTTCCGCACCTCCGCCTCCCAGCTCTCAGGCGCCTCAGCAATCACCTTGCGAATCCCAGTAAAGAACGCGTTCAATACCTCGAGGTTATGCATCACGAGCAGGGTGTGCGCCGACATCTCGTGCGTGTGAAGCAAGTGGTGGATGTATGCACGCCTGTAATGTGGTCGGTGAACAAGGGCGGCAGTTGGATCACGTGAGGGTTCTCCAGAGGCGTCAGGGGTATCGAAACCATGGTAGATCCGTGTTGATGGGGAGATGGGCGAGCATGCAGCACAAGGACAAATAGGCTTCTCTGGGTCGTCAGTGCTGAGAGCACCACGGAACGAATCAGCGACGGGCTTGAAATCCAGACTGTACTTTGCGTCGTATAGGTTGTGTCCGATATCTAGTTTGCTCTCAGTAGACGTACTCGCCCGAACGGGGAATTCAAAGTCGAGAGCGACGCCGATATCAGCTGCCCGCTGGGCCCAATGTGCGTCGAAGAGGTCAATCCCGACAGCAGAGATGTAATGTAGAATCTCATGGGGAGATTCTGTCGAGTTGATCAGGCGGGGTTTTATTTCGGGTAGCGATGCAAGGGAGGTTTTGAGGAGGGGGATAATTTGCTCCGTGTGCGAGGGCATGACCGGGTTTAAATCTGTGGGCGATGATACCCGTGGATTCTTCTTCTCGGCAGCCTCGAGAGATAGTCTTAGAGGGACGAGGTCGAATGTGTACCCAGCCACCCCTTCATCGAGCGTCGTGAACGGCTTGATAGCCTCTGCCTCAGAGCCGAACAGAGGTTCAAGGAGGCTGTCGGAGAAGGCCTTGCGAGCAGGTATACTCGTTCCTCCTGCCATTTGCACGAGTACGTTTAGTGGACCGTCGTTTTCGGTGGGATGTAGGATATTCGAAAGCCATGTTGCCGTCCTCTCGATGCTTTTAGTGAGTCGTTTTTGCGAGTACGGCGGTTCGGTGAATGGGATATCTGAGAGTGCGAAAACGACATCTGGCTGGCATGCCAGCACGTATGAGCGCCAATGTGCAGGTGATAGCTGTGATAGATGATTCAATCATAGCACTCAGAGATAATGACAATACGCACCTTTCGAACACCCCGCAAACTGTAAACACACAAATGACTATGTCCATTTGTCGGCATATCCCTTCCATCATAAGGATCCCGTGCAGACATCGAGAGAATATGCTTGCCTGGGACGAAACCCAAGAACTTATGCAGCGGATTCGGCCCTGGTTGCAACGTCGGCACTGGTGGATGATGTTCTAAACTAGAGTCAAAATGGATCAGAATCTGATCACCAAGGATAATGCTTACCATTCTTCGAACACTCACAAGGTCTCGAACGGCACATTTACCCAGCGTATAGCGTTGGTGAGTTTGTGATGATCTCGAGATAGATGGGGCACGACACCACGCGACGTGGCGGTCAGAAGGCCTGGGGTTGCGATTTGAACTGGATCTAGCGTAGATCCTGGGCGCTTGAAAATGATGCTGCCAATCCTTGGTCCATATCTCGTTGGAGACGGTAGCGAAAAGCTGAAAGTCGACTGGGACATGAGTGTGTGGGTGGAAAAATGAGGGACGATCTAATGACGATCGATTGATGGATTTAACGGAGTTGATACCTTTGATAAGATTAGATTAGATTAGATTGGGCGCTTGAAATTCATGTCGAACTTAAGAAAGGTTGACACAGAGCTCAGTAATGGTCGAAAAAATACATGGTGCTCAGCTTTAGGCAATAAATTTGAACGATAATTTGAGTATGATAAGCAGTGTCAAGTCGCGCGCCATACTTACACGAGCCCGGGGAGACGGAGACTACCCGAAAGCAAAGAAAAGCATCAGGGAACCTCAAAACAGATATTTTATTTAGGATGATGGTGGGAGGGAAGGAAAATAAGTATCATGAATTGCGTGATTATAAGTAGGTAGCCGTTACGCACAAACCAGACGGCAGAGATAGATGGATAACCATTTAAAGAATCTGACCGAGTACCGTCCACTAATTATAATACGTTCGTTAGTATAACCCCCGACCCCAAAAATGTGACATGCGTATGTTATGATCTTCTCAGAGTCCGTGCCATTTTTTACAAACCTCATGCCAACGGATACTATATATTTTATCTTCTCGGAGCTCCCAACGAGGAGGAACTAGACTACAATAGCACGGCAAGAAGCTGAGGCAGAGCCATTAGGGGATACCAGAGCTTTTCGTTGTACTGCTTTCTTGCATTATCCAGGGTGGCCATGGCGAACGTTTCGCGAATCAAGAGAAGCACAGGGATGAACGGGAGAATATGAATGTCATTCCTAGAGCCAAAGGACTGGATGGGGGCCTTCTTTTTATCCTCTGTGATTCAACATTAATTTTCGTTACATGACTTCTTATGTAAAAGCATGCACGCCTGTAAGTTCCATCTGCCAAAGGATAAGTGTTTGAAAAGCCTTAAGCACAGTAAGGATCAGGATATATCGTCGTGAAAGGCTTTTATTGTAGAGCCGTTTGTGCTGGAGTTGCACTAGTCATCGACGCATTCGCAATACCAGTGGCAACGGCGGCTGAAAGTGAAACCCTACGCTTCCGCGTTACACGCAAAATAAAGGTTGTCGCGGGGGGTGATGGCCTCCATCACACAGTATGCTTCCATCTGTAAAGATTAAAGAACATGCGTACAGTAACTTTAAAAAACTAAAGCTTGTAGTTATGTGAGAAAAACGACAAACAATTCCGGTACGGGGAATCGAACCCCGAGCTACCGCGTGAACACTTCAAATGTGAATATGGGTGAAAGGCGGTAATGTTAGCCGTTACACCATACCGGAGTTGAGTAGGGCTATTTTGAGCTCCTCCGCTCTCAATTAACTAATTATTTCTTGCAAAGACAACATTAGACTTCGCGGCCTCTAGTTTCTAAAATACTTTGTGCCTACCCGTCCACAAACTGAAACACGACATGACCCATTGTGATTGCTATATACAATCAAAATCAAAGTCAACGCGATCAATTATTCCATAATTTATTTGGCTAACGAGGAATGTGCTACTACTTACAGGCCATGTGGCATGGAAGGGGATGTGATTTAATTTTAATTTGAATCAATAAATATTAAAGATGGTGAGAATCGATGGATAAAACTATTCAGAAACCCCGTTTCTGAGGGTTTCTGCGGAAGTTTCCGTAATGCATTATGCGAGTCTGCCGATTGATGGCCGCTCCCTGTCACTGGTCCGTGGCGCCCCTAGATATAACAATTCCTCATATAAATTCGTACATTCAACCATGTAATTACCTCCAATAATGCTTCTCTCGTTTGTCGAATATTTTCTGGGCCAAAATTTGGCGTACAGCATCTCTTGGGAGCATTCCAAGCTGCTAGACGGCCTTTCCGGGTCTTATCTCCAACTTCTACCATTATCTTTGCAAATTAAATCTCATTTTCTTTCTTAGATATATTTATATAGATCAAATATATATTCTTGCGGACAAAATTGCAACCATTGGCATCGCAGGCAGCGGGGAAACACTAAGTTCATCAAATTAATTTTAATCGCCGACACGTTTTTCATCAACGGCATCTGTCGGCAATCACAGAAACCCCAGAAACAGGGTTTCTGAATAGTTTTATCCAGAATCGAGAGGGCCCCGGGGTTGGTACTACTGTTAAGCGTAAGATATGGACGAGGTAGAGTATACATTCTTCGTAGTCTTTGCAGCGTATATTATTGCACGAAACAAGAAGCGGCTCAAGAGCCAAGATAGATTGGGGTAGAAACTCCCGGAATTTCTAACTGAGGAGATCACGATTGTTTATAGTATTGCTTGAGCTTAAATGCGCGACTCGCGATCGCTGGGTTGGCGGTTTCCGCTTCGACTATCTCTAGACTTTCTCTACGCCCAAGTCTCACTGGCTAATTGAGAAAGCGGACAGGCGTCGGAGGAAATGGACGAGGGGAGTGATGCATCATTTCTCTCAGGGAAAAAGGAAACAGTTGCGGTTTCAAGCGAGGCATGAGACTGAAGAGCCAATTAACGAGCGTGCGTCCCGAGAACAATGGTATCCGATTGTTCGTTCGGTCCGGGGAACGGAGATATCAAATAAGGACCGCACGTTGACGCCGGTAAACAACGTGGTTCAGTGATATGGGCGTCTATGTAACCAATTTGACGGATATCCTTGCAGACGCAAATTGAGTTGTCGCCGTCGGAGGTAAGAAATTTTACGGCATCCGGGCCGAAGACGCATGGTATTTGTCAGATCCTTACGTAATTTTTAGTTCGACGCGCTCGTCGATTTCACTTGTGCACCTCCTATGTTTCCGACCATGTATCAGGCTGCTTGAAGTTCGTATCTTCGATAACAATCATCTCCCCAATCTAAAAATTCACAGATAAAGAATTTCTACATATTCCTTGCGGTGTCTTTGGCATGGTTTTGTCGGTGAGCTATTCGTCGTCCTCGGGGTCCATATCTCATCATGGAATTGCATTGGGCAACAGGGAGCGCTTTTATTGTCCGATCATGGCCGAATCCTCACAGGAAAACACACTCGACCTTCCTTTGGAGATCGCGGAGCTCATCATCGATGAAGTCGCCAGACAGAACGACAAACAGGCCTTGCGCACGATGGCACTCGTATCTCCTTGTTACGTTGATAGGTGCCAGAAAAAACTTTTCCACACCATCGATCTCGGTGACCGCTGCATATCTGGGGAGGAGTATTACCGACGGCTGTACCGCATCCTTTCGCAGCGGCCGAATTTTCGATCTTATGTTCGGGACCTCCGCCTCGTGGATACCTACGTGTGGGATATAAACAAGGAAAGTTGGACATGGCTGGTGACAGAGGACAGCATCTGTGATGTGTTGGATCTTCTCCCAAATCTCCATTCGTTTTCGTTGACCTTCAATACTGGCCAGCCAACGTGGACGAGCTTCAAACCATGCATACGCCACGCGCTCATGCAACTGGCCAAAAGACCATCACTTATCTCCTATTCACTCAATCACATTTATAATTTCCCGCCGACGCTGCTCGTTTCACTTGCGGTTATGAAGCACTTGGAACTGAACGACGTCACCGTCCACGATTTAGCCCTTACCTCCTCCCTCCCGGTTGTGCTCAGCATAGCATCCATTTCGACTCCTCGATTGGAATCGTTGATTCTCAAAGCTCCTTCCCCAACGACGTTGCTCGTATTACGGAGCATCCTCTCCTTGTCCCCCCATCCGACGCTTATTGCACTCCGTGTCGCTATGGTGAACAACCAGGATACCACGACGATCGTTGAACTGTGGGGATTAATGCAGTGGGCTGCGAGTAGCATCACGGATCTTGAATGGCGTCCCTCCCTCCGTCCGCGTGAACCTGCGACCTGTTGAGTCATTTCGTTACACGTCGTATAATTTTTGATGTTAATGAACATACAACCTTCCTGCAGGTCCTCCGGCGCCTATCGACATCGGTATTCTCTCACGTCTACAGACGCTCCAGTTTATGGTTAACTTTCACTCCGAGGCCCAACCCGTATTCTCGGAACTGCTTGTCCTTCTGCAGCAGATATCTTCGGGGTCGCTGTTCCACCACCTGATCATCGAATGTATGTTCCTGAAGGCGGTAGAACTGGTCGCATGCGGGAGCGACTGGTCCGCCCTCGATCAGATGCTATCAAAATCCGAGTTTGATGGTCTCAAATCCGTCGTGTTCTGTGCGCGCTTCAGGTCTGCACCCGGCTTGAAGGTTTCGGCAAAAACGATTGTGGAGGAACAATTACCAGCCATCCGCGCCCGGGGCGTTCACATTCGCTTCGATATGGATCCTTACTAGTTATCCATGTCTCAAAAATTTCAGTGACTATTTCCCTTTCCTTCCCATTGCTAGTATACCCCACACTCTTCCATTCCTTCGCTCTTTTCCCATCAATGTTTTCATCCTTTTTAATATCCCATATAGACATAGAAACCATAGACTGTTCGTGTACTTTGGCACAAAATATCGCGAGACGCGACAAGCGTATGTAGTTGCAATTGGGACTTGTCTTGGCCAATTTGGCTCGGTCAGCTTGGCAAAAACTCTCTTCCATCGAATTGTTTTTCGGGCTGGACCCTGCCTAGTGTACTGAAGAAAACAGCCGTGCCGACTCACAGGTTGGCGATCTGGCAGTAATGTTCAACACAGGCATTTTTGTTTTAAAATTTGCAAATCTGTCCAGGGTTTTCCTAGTAAGGGAATGATTCCCTAATTAGACTGACGCTTGGCACCGATCTTCAATGACGCTCAGCATGCTCCGTGTAGGTACTGGATAACTAAGATAATGAATAAAACTTAAACAAATAGGAAAAGATGTACGTTTGGTATGGTAAATTATAAGACCGGCTGCATCATCGTCGCAAAATAAAAATAAAGGCAAATCGCAGCAGAGAATGACAAGTCTAAGGTAATTTTAGAGAGCTATTCCTGGTGATTTCGACCTAGCAGTAGGACTGAGGTTCATGTTCAAGGCCCGAGAGCCCCCCGGAGAACCTCAAGTTGCGCGTGGTGCGCCTTGTTTGAACATCCGCCTGACCCGTTTTATTTGCTTACGTAAAGAACCTCATGATACATTTCCCATCCCAAATTTCACGCTGTCAAGGTCCTCTTTTCTCCCAGCTCGCCAGCTCTTTCAGACCTCCGTACTCGTTCTCGCTACGGATACACGCTCTTTTACACATCTGCATGCTCTAGTGTCCTCTATTTATCTGTAAAAAAAATATAACAATGGCGACTTCTGGTAAGTGTTGATCAAATCACACGCCGCACCGAGCTGACGAGCGATGTGTAGGAGGTTCTTCATCGTCCGTCCCGTGAGTTCTCAAAGGCATATCGTGGGGGAAGCAAAGCCGAATGATGTTGGATTTATAGCTCGGGACCTTCGTCGACTCCATCGGCCCCTTCTTCATCCTCGACCACACCGTCGAGCACCGCTGCGCCTCCAACCACCACCGCCGTAATCCCACCTACAACCACGACTCCATCTTCCAGCACTGGTGGCTCCTCGTCTTCGACCACCACTACCACTACCACGCCATCGACAACGACGAATGCACCCAGCACCACAACTCCTGTGGTGCAGACGACCCCAACTACGTCGCCACCCACTTTGCCGACCACCACCACCACCAAGGGACCAGTCGTGACGCAGTTTTCGACGACGTTCATATCTTCATCGGGGAGCGCAACGCCGACCGCTAGCAGTGCAGCTTCGACGAAATCGAAATCGTGAGTGTTCTGCTCGTATCTGTTTCATCATTTCGGCTTGTCGATTTTGTTGCCATCTATTGTGTTGATGGTTCTGGATGGTCCGTCCATCTTTGATTTCTTGATGCCATGCGTTTCCTAACACTTTCTCCGGAATATTCATTTCCCTGCACTTGGCCATTCCTTACTGGTCTCGTCGCGCTCGAAGTGCTCGATGATTCATCTCCGTGAACCCTCCGCTTTCTGCCTGCCCTTCCGATCGTGACCGGTCATTCATCGTGATTTATGCCCCACCTTTTAATCTACGAAATGGTCTCTGCACTATTGTCATTTTTGACGGTTATCATGTTTTTTCTCTCGATTCATGCACCTTCTGTATGTATGGTCTCGATGACTCCATCCAGCAATGGCTTTGTTTCCGTGGATTGGGCTGCATTATCCCGCCCGAGCTTCCCGCCTTCTGTTCGATCACTTTCCGATCATTAGAATACCATCAATTTATCATTGGGCGCTCATTACCATCTTTTGCGGACTTTCCAACGTGCCTATGGCGGCGACGGTGTTCGTTCGAAATATCTTGTGCCGC